ACATTAATTAAAACTGTTCATCCATTAGCTCAGGCTTATGACTAACTAGCTCTTGCACTTAAACTCAACCCATTTCTGTTATCCTATATGTTGCCACATGTTCCATGGCTTTACCTGTGTGCCATTACATGCTGCTCCCTGGACAGCAGACTGGCATCTCCTGACTCAGCCTTCCTCTTCCAAGAATTCTCCCTGTCTGCTTATCCCACTTATACTAACTGCCTGGCTACTGACCAATCAGCGTTTTATTAAACCAGTATAAAAAAACCATTATCCCACAGCATATGGGAGCCATTCCTACCCAAACCACCACAATATCTAAAAGTAAACTTTCTTTATAAAAGTTACAAATAACAAAATACAGAACCAAACCAATTCACCTTGAAATCTTAAACTGCTATTTTTGAAAAACAGAGATTATTAATTTATTAATGATACATAATATTGATATCCTTCTTATAATCAATGAGAAAAGTATGGTTTTAGCTGAATTCAAGTTGAAAAAGAATCCTCACCAAAGGGACTCCTTAGAATGGCAGTAAAGGCATGAGCAACTATATAACTGGCAATCATGCATAGTAGAAAAAAGAAAAGAGGAACAGTAGATGGTAAATCCAGAGAGAGAGTAGTCATTCATGGTTAGCTTGTAAATGCATGAATTTTCTAGACAACATTAGATGCTACAAAGTCTATGGGTATCAATTCACAGGAGCCATACTTGAATGAACTTGCATAAATTCACAAGTAGAATATAAAGGGAGAACCTCCATAGTTGCCTGATATAAATAATAAACAGGAATTAAGCACCAGGAAGTGTGCACAGGTCTTATAGTTAATATTTCATTTAAAATTTGTAATAGAGCCGGGCGGTGGTGGCGCACGCCTTTAATCCCAGCACTCGGGAGGCAGAGCCAGGCGGATCTCTGTGAGTTCGAGGCCAGCCTGGGCTACCAAGTGAGTCCCAGGAAAGGCGCAAAGCTACACAGAGAAACCCTGTCTCGAAAAACCAAAAAAAAAAAAAAAAAAACTTGTAATAGGCCTAACAAGTGCCAATAAAAAGTATACAAATGACATAATTACAAACATGGACATAAAAAAAGTGGTTAGTAGTATTTTCTTTTAATTTAACAAAAGGTATACAATCAGTATCATGCTAGAATATATGATTGAATATATTTATCCTGAACACATTTACAGACTATTTGTCACTATGAAGTCTCAATATTATTTGAGAAGTGGTGGCCTACCATAGTTTGCACAGTATAAGGATATAATTGAACACATCATAAAAATCACAAGATAGGGAAGAAGAGGTAAGATAAGAGCCAAAGAACGTGAAGTCAACTACAAATTCTAAACCTCCCATCCCTTTGAAACAGGGGAGGTCAATCTCTCTCTCATTGTATTGAACTGGAATAAAACCTCCTTTGACTAACAGAATGTCATAAAAAGCATTATCTGTGGTTTCTGGCCCCTGCCTTTCAAAAGGCAGTTTCCTCTTTGTTGATTGGGAAGCCAGCTGTCATGCTTTAATAAAAATATTGAGTGAGATCCCTAGTTCTTCACCAGAGACAAGTTTGCCTCAGGAATCTTTTGGTAATAAGTTAATATCTGGAGACATTTTTTGTTACAACTTGAGAGACATGGCTGCTATATGTCTTGTGGTAGAGAGCAGGGAGGCTATAAATATATCTGTAAAATGTCCAAAACAACACTCCACTATACTACATCATGAAGAATACTCTGGCCAAACTGTCAGTAGTGCAGAAACTGACTCTTGCCTACACTATAATGATGAAAGAACAACATATTGAAAGAGGCTGGGGGTAGACCACTGAGTCACCAGGCATGTAAGTTGAAAACATTGAATCTATACAGCCCAGGCCACATGCTGGCTAAATGCAACCATATAGGAAATGACCTGTAATACCCCTAACCAACTTGGAGTGGTAGAACATCCAAATGAAAGCAAACAAAATTCTCCTACTATAAAACTATGAACATTAATAAATTTAGGACAGTTAACTTATACTTGTTTTTGTTACACAGCAATAGGTAACCAAAGCATTATTCTCCTTAACTTGTGCTGATATATTAATTTATTTGCCTAAAAGGTTTACATGGGAATGCAACTATGTAATACTTCTAAATTATGTAGATATGGCTAAATTAGCATCACCCTTTCAGTGTATAGCACTCTCTTGAACCTGAACTTATTCTTTTCCATTCTAATGTTTGTTTTTTGTGTAATGTCCAAACATTCTCTTACTCTGATGAGCATAATATTGATCAACATTTGGAATTCCTCAAATGTCTGTTCCCAACACATTTTCCACTTGATTTTATTTTGAAGTCATTAATTTTCTAATTCATGTCTGGGCTTCTATATTTATTTGTTTATTTTACATCTCATCCTGTTTATTTGAGCAGGCATTGCTCCTTTATTTTTATGGGAGTACTTGCAAATATTTTATCATGGAACTAGACAACACTCTGTATATTGCTTTTAAAATGCCTTCTCCCTGGAGTGGCACCATGGACAAAGTGCATGCCAGGGAGGCACATGGTAGAGAATTAGGTTGAATGAGTCTTTTTCAGGCATGGGTCTATCAGTTAATAGAAGTTGAGCACAGTGGGGAAGTTTTAGAAAGGAGCTCTTCTCTCACAGATTGATCCAAAATAAACAAATAGATCAGAAGACATTAATTCAAGAATGTTAAGATGTAATGGCTGTGGTAAAATAGCCATAGTCTGGTCTGTTTCAGTTATTTAAGCTTTTTTGTAATAATTAAACTGTTATATTTAAGTTTGGATCACATACTCTCAATTAACTTACATGAATTCTATTGTGTACACTCAATCTATAACAACAGAGGAAAGAGAAACTATTATAGCACATAACACTATCTGCCGCTCCACTCCCTACTGAACATGAAACAGTGACCTTGACAGGGAAACTCAAATTTGCATTCATGCTTCTGATTGCAAAGACATTTTGCTTCTGAGGGTGTGATTGTAACATTTAAAGTTATACATTGTTAGTATAATTTTACCCAGGAATGTAAGGCAGTTTTCAAAAACACTTTTGTATTACTTTTAACAGATAAATTAGAAAAAAAAATTTCAGGGCAAAAGGGAAGATATTGTATTAAACCTTGGCGAAATTAACTCCCCACGGAGTTTTTCAATAGGTTTTTCTAGGGTAATTTTGAGTATTATTCACTCGCTTTAAAAAATATTTTTCATTTTCTTTTGAAATTATAGTATAATTAATCATTTCCCCCTCCACTTTCCTCCCTCCAAACTTAACTGTACACCTCTCCTTCCTCTCTTTCAAATTCATGATGTCTATTTTCATTAATTGCTGTTACATGCATATATGTATATATACATACACACTGTATATAATATATATGGAATATATATTATATATATTCCTAAATGCAACCTGCTCACTCATATTTTAAAATCACTTTGTACTTTGACATTTAAAGTTGTAACCCCACCATGCAGAACATTTACAGACACTATTTTCATGATTGAGTCAACTAAGATAGTGATGGATTGGGCCAGTCAGTGAACTGGCAATTTTGAATATCTATGATATGTTCACACCAGGGATACAGGCCACAGAACTGCATCTTCATGATACAGAATCCCACATTGTCCACCAGTGTAATTGATTTGCAGGATTTACACCCATTCCTTCAGAAACTAATAAGCAGAGGCTGACAAGGTATCCTTGCTGCACATTTTAATGTTCTGTGCACTGAAACCTCTTGATGAAGACACTGGCTTTGCTGCTATTATTCTCTGGCTATCCATTTCCCCCATCCTTTCCTTTCCTTTGTCATATTGAATATGTATACTGTTCTTAATAATAAATTTTAAGAGTACCTATGTAAAATACATATTCAAGAAGAGGAATAATGTATTAGAATCTGGTGTACTCATGCCTTGTTTTAGTACTTTATTATTAGGACACAATTAGTTCACTTACTATTTTAAGGCAATAATATGATAGTAGGTCTGCCAATCTATCCAGAAACTGTGTGTGTGTGTGTGTGTGTGTGTGTATGTGTGTGTGTGTGTGTGTGTGTGTGTGTGTGTGTGTGTGTGTAAAATGTACTCATGCCTTGTTTTAGTACTTTATTATTAGGACACAATTAGTTCACTTACTATTTTAAGGCAATAATATGATAGTAGGTCTGCCAATCTATCCAGAAACTGTGTGTGTGTGTGTGTGTGTGTGTGTATGTGTGTGTGTGTGTGTGTGTGTGTGTGTGTGTGTGTGTGTAAAATGTAGATGCTGATATGACCACATTACTTATTCTATTTCATTTTTGGGCCACTTAACTTTGATTTAATATTTGTCACTGATTTATGTTTATTATGCCTTTTCATTTTGATTGCTGCATGAAACTTTATTGAAGAAAACCTATGTGTGATTTTATCTGACTTGCTCCTTCCTTTTGACTTCCTGAGTTGTTAAATCTTTAATAATAGAAGTAGTTCTGGAAAACATCTTTGTAAATGCCTCCCAGAGGATATGAGAAAGGATTTCTGCTGTGTACGTATTTGTGTGTCATAGGTCTGCACAGCTTCCACTTGGTCTAACCGTGCCTGGCCACATGGCTGCACCAATTTATCATTTCATCAATGGTTAATTGACAGTTTATCTTTTGTCACATCCTTGCATCCTCAGCTGATCTTAGTAGATGTCTAGCGTCTTCCTAACTGTTGAGTGTGAAGCATCTTCCCAGTCATTTAATTTGCATTTCTTGATTACTGAAGCTGGAGAGCATCTTTTCATGCATTACTTAACAATTCCATTCAGGTTTTCTTTTCTCAATAGCTTGCTCATTTTTAAGCTCTTTTATCTTATTGATTTGGGAAATGTCCTTTGTACATCCCAAGTATGACTTGTGCTCTTCATTGTTCTTATTTGCAATCAGAATATGCTCTGACTAGTTTAAGCAGTAAAGCCATATATGAAAAAGGCACACAAAGGTAACTACCAGAACTCGGAAATCCGCGACAGAGACTAAGGCAGCAGAGACGAAACACATAGATGTACATACAGGAAATAATAAAGAAAAAGTCAGTAAAGCTAAGAAGAACAAAAGAAAGGTGGATGCTGAAGCCCATCTGTCAGATGAGCCTGTGAACGAGGAACCAGTGACAAAAAAAGAAAAAAAAAAAGACGGAAAGCAAATCCAAAAATAGTACCGAGGTGCCAAAGGATGACAGCAAGACGGAGGAGACTAAGGGGGACAATAAAAAGCAAAATACTTCCATTAAAAAAGGTGCAAAGAAGAAACCTCAAAAAGGTAAATCAAGTGAGAAGGGCAGCAGACCTGCTCAGGAGACACAGAAGGAGACGGCTCCTGCAGAGCCTCCTTCCATGGAGCTGGCTCAGGAGGAGGTCTCTTCCGGTCCTGTGCTCACTCAGGTGGTGGTCACCCCTACAGGCTCTACTCAGCCCGGGCTTCCTTCTCCCATGGATATTGCTCAGACTGGGCCTGCTCAGATGGAGCTGCCTTCTCCCCTAGAGCCTCCTCAGAGGGAGCCGCCTCCTCCCCTGTAGCCTGCTCGGAGGGAGCTGCCTTCTCCCCTGGAGCTTCCTCGGAGGGAGCCGCCTCCTCCCACAGAGCCTCCAGGGATGGAGCAGCCTCTTCCCATGGAGCTTACTCAGATGGAACAGCCTCCTCCCATGGAGCCTGATCAGATGGAGCCTCCTCCTCCCATGGAGCCTGCTCAGAGGGAGCCACCTCCTCCCATGGAGCCTGATCAGATGGAGCCGCCTTCTCCCATGGAGCCTGATCAGATGGAGCCGCCTCCTCCCATGGAGCCTCAGCGGGGACATTGTCAGAAGAGGCTGCTTTGTCCTTTGGACCATGCTCAGGTGGAGGTTGCTCAGACAGGGCCTCCTCACATGGGATCTGTTCAGAAAGAGCCTCCTGCTGTCATGGAACCACCTCTTCAAGTGAAACCAGTCACCAAAAGGTCTTCTCCCCGAAAAGAGAGTACCAAGGAGAAGTCGGGCATGTGGAGTGAGGTGGTGCGGCAGGAGCAAGTCCTTATTGAAGTTGGCTTAGTGCCTGTTAGAGATAACCAGCTTCTGAAGGGAAGCAGGCACACACAGGATCTTCCAAAGGGAAACTCAAGAAGAGACGAGACACCCAAGGACCAAGAAATTGGCTCTGATGGGGAAGGAAATAAAATGGCCCCTCTCAAGAAATTGGGAACAGAGGAAGCTGGCAAGAGTCTAGCTACGCTTGCTGCTCCCAAGGAATCTACCAGTGTCTTATCCTCGGAACAAAACTCAAATGGGTCAGGTGGTGAAACGTTACATGCTAAGTGTCAGACTGGTTCAGCTGGGCTTTGTGAAATGGAAGTGGACACTGAGCAGAACCCAGACAGTGTCCCTGTGAAAGCCTCAGCACCCGAACCGGCATCACCATTGCCTCCTGTCCCATCACCAACCGTAATGACCTCGCCTCCTATCACTTTGGCTGAAAACGAGTCACCGGACATTGATGAAGACGAAGGCATCCACAGCCATGATGGAAGAGACCTGAGTGGTAATATGTCCGAGGGAAGTGATGATTCTGGGCTGCATGGGGCTCGGCCAGTGCCACAAGAAGCAAGTTCAAAAAGTGGGAAGGAGGGGTTGGCAGTTAAAATAACCAAGGGAGAGTTTGTTTGTATTTTCTGTGATCGGTCTTTCAGAAAGGAAAAGGATTACAGCAAGCACCTCAATCGCCATCTGGTTAATGTATACTTCCTTGAAAAAGCAGCCGAGGGGCAGGAGTAGTGAGCCGGCCGGTGGAGGGCAGCTCGTCACAGTTTGTAAGCAATGCCTCACTTTTAGTTTAAGGCAGTAGACACACACAAGCTCGCTTTAATTAGTGTCCAGTGCTGATTTTTAAGTGACATTATTTCCTTAGGACTGTATGTGTTACCTAGTGACTTGCAAAAACCTTAGCAAATCCTAGGGAGTTAATGTAAGAAAACAGATACTTAATCTGTTAGCTTGTGCAGTGCAGTTAAGAAAGGCGGGATGGTAGGTGACGTTCTCCGGGGTGTCTACCTGTGTGGAACCGGTCGGGTGTTCTGCCCTTTTCACTTCACTTGCTATTTTTAGTTCCTTGTTTAGGCTGATAAAAATTGGCGTAGCAAATTACTTGAAGAATTTGCCTGCTTTATATAAGTAAAGTTAGCACTTTAAGGTTTTTTTAGAGATGAGAAAAGACATTTAAATTGAAGAAAAATTCTTTCAACAGTGGACATTGTATCTGTCCAGATTTCAACATCAAGGAATGTTGCATTTACTCAGAAGCTTTTCTGATTTGTTAAAATGACTGTGTGACATCGATTCTTGTTTATTTTTATGTTCTTTAATATGTTAATTGATTTGCACACATTGAACAATCCAAGACTTGCATATATAACCATCAAGAATCTTGTCATTTCCTGTTCTGTCTTCATCTGGTTAGTGTATCATGGTGATTATGGCTTCACAGAATGAGTCTGTTTCTTTTCTTTTGGTTACTTGGAAAAATTTGATGAGCAATAGCATTTTATTTGCTATGACTTTTATTAATATTTCAATCACATTGCTTGATAGAGATCTCCTTAAGGTGTTTATATCCTCTCAGTTCAATTTTGAATTTTGGCAGGTCATATGTACCTAGAAATATTTCTTTATTATAGATATTCCAATGTGTTGGAATATATGTTATATAAAGTATGCCCTAAATGTAAAATAAATAAATAAATAAATAAATATATAAATAAATAAATATATAAATAAATAAATAAATAAATAAATAAATAGAAAAAAAGAAAAGAAAAAGGCCAGGAAGGATGTAAAGTCAGACTCAGGAGAACTTGGTTTTCCCAAATCACACCATAGGTTTGTCCCAGCAAAGATTAGGCCTCTGAACAACAGCTGGGTGCCAACACTGCTGTTACTGCTAATGAACTTGAGTCTGAAGGCTAGAACCCCTGTGTGCTGCTCCCCAAAGCCAGGGGGATTTTTCCTAATCAAACTCATGCCCAGGTGGATACAGTCATTGAAATCTAGGCCCCCTGTCTATATACTTGCTGGTTTCTGCCTTAGGGAAGCAGAACCCACATAATAGATAATTGCCAAGTCTCAGAGAGCTGTGCAAAATGTGCTGAGCACAGCTAATGTCCACTTCACCAATCACATGCTACATATTAGCCATGCAAGTATCCACTTCACAGCATGGCTCCTCATATTGGCCCGCTAGTCCTATCATTGCTGATCAAACAGCCCAATTTTCTCACAAGTTTATGCAGCTCTCTGTCTCATAAACCATCATCATTCATCTGCATAGGTCTTTGGAATGGCACTGTGTTCCATTAGTCTACCAAGCTATTTCTCATATTCATATGGTGGAATTTTAAGTACAAGAGCATGGGGCCAATGAGGTGGCTCAGTGTGTAAAGTAGCTTACCTCTGAGTCTAATGGTCTGAGTCCAAGCCCAGTGACCCATACGGTGGAAGGAGAGGAACAAGTCCTGCAAGTTGTCCTCAGCCCTGCACCAATGCATACCATAATATACACACCTCATTACTCAACCTCATATTCTCTCTCTCTCTCTCTCTCTCTCTCTCTCTCTCTCTCTTTCTCTCTCTCAAAAAATGATGTAATTAAAATTAATATAATATGTACCCAAATGAAAGCACAGAATAATGTGCTCAGAGGGAGCTCCAGCTTAGCTATCACCAATGAACAGAAGGAGACTGAGTTTTCAATTTCTTCTCTTTATGGTAAATCTACCTCTCTATATAAGAACAGATGAATTATTTTGACTAAACATCTGTTTAAGACTGTATTATTTATATTATGAAATGAAATCAGTATACACTCTATCTCGCTCATATTTTTTTTCATTTTAGTTTCACGGTTACATTACCATCAAAAAAATAAATCTGATAGTTTTTCACTATTTTTTTCTATATACAGATTTCAAGTAAGGTCAAAATTAGCAATTCCCTGAAGTATTCATTCTGTAGTTGACAACTTCATCAATCCAAATTTGACAGTGAGCCTAAATTTCAGTGGTAGGTAGGGCAGAGTCAGGCAAGGAAGTCAAAAATTAGGAGGTGTATTAGATTCCATACTAAGACTTTTCTGCTCTCTGTCCTTAACAAATAATGAAACTGATGTATTTTTTCCTTCATGTACTGCCCATTTCAAAGGACTCAGGCCTTTGGAAGAAAGAATATGCATGTTACCTAGCACTGTGTTCACCCTGAGAACTTAATAAATAGTATTAATGACATGATAACATCCTAAGCTCTATATACCATATAAACAGCTTGCATTAAGTATGGGAGCATCCAACTTCTGCAAGTGCCTATCTAGCCAACAGTTTGCTGAACAGAGTCAACATATACTGAAATACTCAAGACAGCATTGGTTAGTAGATATTTCTCTTGCCCTTGGGAAGCAAAGCTGAGTCTAAAAAATGAAGACTCATATCTACCCTTGATTTTTATAATATTATTGCAATGTTTATTGCATCCCAGCTAACACTAGCCATTGTAGAATAAACCATTTGAAATAAAATGGAATTAACTAAACAAATATTGATTTGATCAATATTATTATAAGATCTAAAACTTTATCTGTTATCTTTTTTGTAATAGTTCATTACCTACCAAGCCCATATTTTAGTAGGGCAAACAAAGATAATTGTACAAGCAAAGTAATACAACGTAATTTTTGCTATTCACACAGTTTATTAAGTATCATTATATATGAGATGAAAGATTTAGTTAGATAAGACTAAATAAGCATGATCCCTGATACAGTTGTTATATGTGAGATTTATATCATTGTGAAGGGGGGAAGGCAACATTTATTTAAAAAAATATGAATTGTATAGAGTAAGTTGTATGCTAGCAAAGTCTATAATCATACAAGAAAGGAAGGCAGAGATGAGAGGTCAATACTTGGGTAAAGAACATCAAGGACTCTTCAGTAAAAAGGTTCATTAACCAAGACTAGAATTAGAAATTAGAGTTTGATCGGACACACTCTGGGTCTTATAGGAATGGAGAGAGAGGATACTCTGAGGACAGCACAGTCCTTTATTATGGAGAGTAAGTCAAGAACAAATTCAGACAAAATGAAGAAGAAAGAATCAGATGGTTTAGAATCTGTAGGTCTCATTGAAGGATTCAGAGTTTATGCTGTTAAAAGTCTCTAAAGTTACAAAGCCAGTATCTTCACTTCCAAAATAGATTACTTTTATCATAAGGTATGATTATTGATGAGATTTTAATGATCAAATTAAATATCCATGAAGCAGGAATATTAAACCTCATTCCATGTTTTTCTTCTTGCTTTCCACAAATACCCCCCAAAAATAAACTCATATGTAACCAAAATTATTTATGACACATTTACACCTACTAAAGTGTCTAGTACATGGAACTTTCCACAGTATATCAAATATCTTATCTTTACAAAGCTATTATTTCTCCACTATTTGCCAATCTCCAGAGTGGTGGTAATTAATGCATCTGTGTTACAAACAGCAGCACTGTAGTGCCTGCCATCAAACAAAATACCAAATAATCACTAGACAATACATCAATGCCTCATCATTGATTTTCATATTATAATCATTCAATTAAATATTCAATGAAAACAATAATAATACTGCTCCTTCTTAGCTAGTGTATTATTTGCTTGCTATGTAGTAAAATGTTCCAGAACACACATCGCTGAGTTGCAGACTGGGGTGCGTGGTGAGAATTGGAACATTTAATTCAGTTGTTTGGGAAAAGTTTCATGGAAACCAAAATGAGAGATTAGGGCTGTAGGGGAAGGAAATGAATCTGGGTGCCAGAGACCATGTGAAGATTGATACAAATTTAATAGCCTTTCACAGCCTGATTGACCCAATTCAGTGCTGGCCTTGTCATGTGGGACAGAACAAGAGTCAAGAGGCAGTGTCCCCCAATGAACCAATAACGTTCCAGCAATGGCGTCAAGCACTTGAATACAAATGACTTTTAAAAAAGCTTGGGGTGAATAAATAACAGAGAAGACCTGTTGGGTCCTCTGTTCCTGGAATACAAGAAATATGAAGGAAGGAATGACATTATTTTCAGCTAACTTAGGAATGCTAGACTTGGAAATGGTAATGGAAATATCTGTTCAAGAATCTCCTTTTACAAGCAAGGAGGATGGAAAAGGAAAGGTATTTGCTCAAGGTCCACAGATACTAAAAGGCAGTGCGGATTCTGTCTCTAGTTCTGAAATATAGACATGATACATTTACACTTGCATATACATCCTGATTTAATAAACTTTCATGGTTCATAGAATGCATTGCCAATTGCCCTGGTGTCTTAGGTACCTTTCTATTGCTGTGAAGAGACACCATGACCAAAGAAACTTATAAAAGAAAAAGTTTGGGGACTGTGGTTCCAGTGGGTTAGAGTCCGTGATATCATGATGGAAAGCATGGCAGCTGGCAGGTACGCATGGAACTGGAGCAGTATCTGAGAGCTTATATGCTTATCCATAGGCACCATACAGATAGAGCTAACTGGGAATGGCATGAACCTTTGAAGCCTCAGTCCACAAGTCCACCCCAGTGACACACACAAGGCCACAACTACTAATTGCTTCCAAACAGTACCACAAACTAGAGACCAAGCATTAACATGATCATATGGGGGCCATTCTCGTTTAAACCAACACACTTGGATGGATGATTTAGTAATTTACTCCACTCCTCCCCCTCTCTCTCTCCTTTCGTCTCAGGCCCTCGTGTCCATTGTTATATTTCCAAAACGTTATCCATGACAGGTAGTACTTACCTTTTGGGGATAAAGATACTGAAACAATTCTGAAACAATTGCTTTATATGGTTAGTTTTAGGTGAACAGATTCCCTAGAGGAAAACTTGGCATTAAGCAGACAATTTTCTCACCTGGGTATCACTAGTCATTTATCTCCCATGACCTGTATATTGGGATTTGTAGCAACTGCATGTGAAGTATCCAGTGTATCATCATCTATGCCCCTGGCAGAGTTATATCTGGCCATCCCTTTTTCCTTCTTTAGTATCTGTTTTCTCTAATATAAAAGGAAAATTTGCAGCTAGGTTATCATTCCACACTCCATAGCCAAT